AATTAATAATATAATAAGTAATTTCGTAATTTTTAAAACTTTGTATACTTTATTAATCTTTTCTTATTTTTTTTTTTTTTTTTTTTTTATTTATTAAAATATTCTCCAAATAATAATATATATCGTTATATAAAATTTCTCGGAAAATGATACCAGAATTTCGTATACATTTTTAATTTGTACAAAACATAATAGGATACGCGTAAAGCCAACAATCCGCTTTTGTAATCTACTAAAATAATTTCCCTTTGTAATTATTTCACATTAATCCCTTATAATTTAATATTGTTTCGTGTACATACGGAATTTTAGATAAAATATCTTAATTATTATTCCACTCTTTGACAATACTACACATAGAATCACCAATTATCCTTATCCTTCTCTCTTCAAGAAAGACGGATAATCGATTAATTAAAACACCTCTCTCCAAAAAAAAAAAAAACACATCGAAATAATAAAAATACAAAAATTAAGAAAACTATTCTCGAATCATTCGAAGCATCATTCATTTCATGAGACGTGCAAGAAATAAATTCCATCGTTTCTCTAAATGTTACCAACAAGCGTAATACAAACAGAATTCTTCTTGTACAACAACAAAAAAAATTAACCCCTCCAAACTTCCAATACCGTACCCGTTCTAAATCACGCCACGTCACGAAAAAAGAAGCGAGCGAGCGAAAAGTGGTTAAAAATTGAAACGAAATTGAATCCTTCTCGCTCGGCATCGTCCACAAATTGAGCACGCCTATCGGATAACGAGAATGCCCCAACAACCCCCTGCTCCTCTCGACGATTCATCGAATTTCATCCGATCCACACCGCGATCATCTCGAAAGCAAATCGAGCAAAAATCGCCCCGGCTAGATTTCCCTCCCTTTTGTTTACTCCGCGAGAAAAGAAAATCGAAGAGGCATCTCCTTTCCTCCAATAAACTCGGTCCACGGTTTCACCACCGCGGCGTGTGCGTTATCGCGTCTGGTCGTGCGACGAACGTGAAATTAATATTCTAACGAATATCGGGGAAACGGCAGTTTACGAAGATCTCTCGTCACGTCGAACAGCTCGCTTCCACCACGTGTGATTGTTCGTCCGTAGGCTTAACGAGATATCTCGTTAGCGGCGCGTGTTCGTGTCCCTTCCTCTCCTCGAGCGAAACGGCCCGTCGAATTGTCCCTTCTATCTGCTCCAATGATAGAAATTATTAAATCCCGCGTTTTTCCTCTTTTTTATCATCTAGTGCTCGTTCTCTCCAACCTGTCCTTCTTTTCGACGGAGGGAGGGGATGTCTCTTTTCAACGTCCGTGTGAGTTCAGCGTTTCTCAACGTGGTGGCATGAATAAATTTTTGAAGGTGATCGAAGAATTTATTTTTCGATCATAATGATCTCTCTCTGAGATCTCTTGGCTATCTCTAAAAATTCACATGTTGTGTACAGATTTTAATAAGATACGTTTGTCGAAGAATGATCGATCATTACGGCAAGATAAAAATTTTTCAAGGCTTAGGTCGAAGAAAAGATTTAATGTCAAATTAATGCTGACGAATATTAATTTTCTTGGCTTGGATAAACACATTTAAAGATTTTCCAACTGGGCAAAAACGAAGGAAGAATCAAAGAGTGATTCTGAAAAATGTAGTCATTTAAAAGAAAGAAATAGGTTGAGAAACACTGGTATAGGGAAAACGAGGAGAAAGAGAGGAGAGGATGTTTCTCCTCGATGAAAGTAGATATTATTATTATAATCGTTGACAAGGATATCAGGCAACCGAGATAAATAAATGTGAAATTTAGTTACGTAGCTCGTCAACGAGCGCAAAGAAACGCGTGTGAATATTTGATTTGATTAAAACGAGTCAACGTTTCATTTCGTAAATGATACGGAGGATGGTTGGATAATTTGTTGTTCGATGGCTTTTCATAATTCTCACTTCGTTCTCGAACTCGTTGAGCGATAATTTACAAATAATCGAGAAGATTATTTGAAAGAAAAAAAAAAAAAAAAAGGTACATAGACCTGAAGAAAAAGAAAGATTTGAAAAATGATAAAAGAATCCTTTGTTTCACGATAATGAAACTTTTTGCGAAAATTTAATTTGGCTAATTTTTTTCTTTTTTATTCTAATTAGTTTTCTTTTTCCTTTCTTTATTTAGTAGCTTAATAATCATTAAAAAAATTTACACGGAGATTTCATACGTCAATTTTTTACATTACTAATGAGCCCAATTAAAATTACGAACGGTATTATTCACACGAACGTTATTCACGCGTTTCACTAGGATAATGAAAAAAATGAATGGAAATTTCATCGTTGACGTAGGTATCATCGAGAGGAAAAATGTGAATTCCATTATTTCCTTTTCTTCTTTTCTTTCCTTTACTTTTTCTTTTTTTTTCTTTTTTTTCTTTTTTTTTTGTATGTTTTCGATGAAGATCAAGAAATAAATTGGCAATTATCAGCAATATTTATGCGAATCCAATACATATCCGTAATCAATTACAACGTAGTGATAATTAATTTGACATTTTTAAGCAACGATTAGGAGTACACAAGTCTGAAGATATCGTTAGATTTGTAATAAATGCGAAGAAAAAAAAAAAAATTGTACAGTACGAACTGAATTTATGGTAATCGTTACATGAATTGGAAAATTAAATTGACAAATTACTTGATTAATAAAGTAATTTAAAGTTGTATTGTAGAAAATTTAGTTAGCGAGCAAAGAAAAATACATCTTTTAATATTTGAATTAAAGTTTGCTCAGTTTTATATAAAATTATATATTTCATACTTATTCTTTCTATTTAAACTTTTAATGAGTTCAAAAATGGAAAAAAGTTCTTTCGTTAACAACAGAAACAATTGGATCGATCAATTTCCTTATTAATTTTACGAATATATAATATTCGTTAATTCTAATAAATAATTAATCGAGAATCGCAATCAAATTTTTGCAAATTAAACGTAAATTTTCCAGACAAACATACTACGCTACGAATATTGTAAATCAAATCTTTACTACGAAAATAAACCGAAGCAACTTTTTCACAGCTTTTTTCCCTTCAAAAAAATTGCAAAAATTTAAACTCATATTCCAATTGAAAATCTCAATGGAAAAATGACAAAACGTATAATTTAAAAAAATTATACATAATAAAGTT